CTTTTGTAATGGTTCCTTAATTTTGAAACATGAAAATACATGGTGTTAAGATGCCAGAAAGAGCATTCAGTGCAACTTAACTACTGTACCAAAATGGCTATATTCAAAACATAGGTAGAACACTGTTTACTACTTTAGCCTTGGAGTTCTTATCACTTATATTTGAAGCCAAGTCTTGTTTGGCACAGGGAAGCATACATCTGCCCAGCGAAGATCCAAACAGTTTTCCCCAGCACGAATACGACACAAGTGGACTTAAAAATCTTGTTTTTTATATGGTCTCAGAAATAGGTAGTGTAGAATAAATAATGATTAAAAAAAACCCCACTGGCTATGAGGCAAATAACAGATATAAGGTATTGAGGAAAGGTAAATTAAAGTTTGCAATCACATATTTAAGGTAAAAAATAAGGAAATAATATATTTTTCCTAGATTCAGTGAAAAATACAGGGCCTGAAAAATATCAGGTGTAGGGAATGCCAGCCTGCAGACCTAATCCAGCCAACAGTGGTTTCCAATCACAACTACCGGTTTGCATATACCCCATCCCATCCCCATGATATACTTAAAGAACATGGCTGAAGAGGATCTTTTAACAGATACATGGAGATTACCTAGAGTTTAACACTCCAGCCTGTCAGTTTATAATCAGCTTAAAAACATGATTATCTTGTATTTAGGACAATAATTTCCGTTAACAGGGTATGGATTTGAGCTTAAATAAGCAGTATTAGCAAGGACTGGGCTAACCGACTCTGGGGAAATTCTTACTTTTAGCTCTATTTTACACAGCAAATTCATGGTGAAATAAAGTGATCTGTATATGTATGTACACAGAAAACACAACCTTATACTTGGGGTTATTAGTATCATTATCCCAGTCATTCTCCTTCTTGAAACCCAGATCCCATAACAAGGGATTTATAAGATCTAGGCTTCCAGAAAGCAGTAAATTACCATAATAATATTTATATCATGCATCCAGCTTCTTCAGCTATTTCCCACAAGCATGTTTTGAAGGTGGTACTATTGAAATAGTGTCCATAGAAACAATCCAACACTCACATCTTTGTATACCAGTCTTTCTCTATTAAGTTGTTTTACTATAAGCAACATCATGTTAGAAAAAGATTAGTTTCCTCTGGTATTGTACCAATTTAATTTCTGAAGAATATTTTATATGTTTCCTGCAATCTTTCTTAATTATAGCAACATTTATAATGCAACAAAGTATGCTTCAAGGGATTGCAATGTGATTGCTTGATAATTAGATGAATACAAAATAAAACATATGGGGCGTGAAATAACTTTCCCATTAGATCTAGCTCACAACAAAGATGGTCTTGAATTGCCCTTGATACTAGTACAGAGCAGTGTCACCATCCAACCTGAATAGGCAGATCAGATTCTCCACATCTATTATGCCTATCAGTTCTCCTCCATTGACTTGAACCATGCGTCTAGGTTCTTACTCCATACCACTTTTGGAAGAAAACAAGCTGAAAGGATGTCCTTAGAAATAAATGTAACTTTAGTCTAAGACACAGAAAAAACACTCAGAAAAATGTTGCTTTCATAGAGCAAACAGTAATTATGATCTTCTGCAATCTGCTTCCTTATTTATCTTATTTATCATCCAAGAATTTTCATTACCATTAAAGAATTATATGTTGATTCAAATATACTTATTCCTATGCATAAATTAAATGCATAAATTTTACTTTAACCAAAGCATATTTACTTTTGCAGGTAAAATATCTATGGGGAAACTCAAAATGGTTTTTATGAGAGCAAGCTGTCACACTGCAAAAGCAAACAGCCTGATATTTGATCTGGCTGTTACCAAAATAATGAACAAATAGAAGCTGTCCCTCTCCCGCAAAAGAGTCACTTGTAGCCTTTTACAAAGAATAGGCAGGAAAAAGAACTTAATAATTTGAATATTGTTTGCAGTATAAATAGAACTCACATTTCATACACAATTGCTGGATTTCTTTTGTAATGGTTCCTTAATTTTTCTACAGTAAATCGGAAGGTCCTGTATTCTTGAATGCATGTTTATCTGTTCCCATCCAGCTTTCTGGGAAGATGTCCAACATATTTGGAAATTTTGAGAAAACCAAAATGTGGGGGGAAACTAATTTCTTGTAGAAAGTTTGTTCTGATGTGGTGGTTCTAGTGTAAGTATGTATAATAGTCTAACTAGTGATTAAAGAACTACCTTCAGTTAGAAAACTATTCACATGAAAAGTAAGCCTAAAGAACTCTCAGATTTCTGAAAGTTTTAAGAGGAAAAATGCTTTGTTTTTTTCCTCTTCAAACGTTTATGTCCATATATCCTGAACCAAGGCAAACACAACTCAGGAATGTTTAAAGGAGTTCTAAGGGGTTAGACATCAAAGCCTGTGGTGTTCTAAACCCTCCCCCCCCCAAAAAAAACTTCAGAATTTATCTAACCAAGCCTGGGGTATTTTACTTCAATCAATGATTAAAAAAAAAAAAAGTTTTTATTGCTGTTTTTGCCAGCTGTCTGCCTCGAAAAGACTTTCTGTTTCTCAAATGATGAGTTATGGGAAAGTTTTTTATTCAAATCTCTATTGATGCATAAACCGTTGCATGCATGGAACAGACAGTATTCAGTGGTATATATCCAGACTGAAACATGCATGTTTGGTCTGGATCTGGACCTCAAATACATATATACTGGGTAAAAGTATTCTGGGGTGAGAGACAGCATGGAAAACACAAGGCCACGGGTGATGCTATGCTACAGTGATTAAACAGAGGTAGCAGAAGACAGGCTTTGGGAAGATCAATGGAGGGGTGGGTGGACTGGCAGTAGCTACAAATAAGGATGGGTCTTGGAAGAAGGGGAAAGGGTAGATGGATCTGTCAGGTAGGCCATGCTTGAAATCAAATGTGGCAGGAAGTAGGTAAGCCACAGGAAAAATTGGTAGGTGGGCTGGTGTGCAGGCCCTATTCATCCATAAGACATCTCTGAATTCCTCTTAGACAAAACCCAGAACAAACAAAATATTCCAGGTTTCAAACTATGACCCACATCAAATAGTTTGGCCAAACTTTCAAGTTGCTACATGTTTCTTTTGTGCATGAAACAAAACATATTTTCTGGTTCATGCACTTCTGTACAATCCTTCTTAACAACCATAAAAAACTATTTATGTACATTTGTTTTTAAAGAACAATACAAACAGGCAAATTTATATTCTGAACAATGTGAGCATCGTTACTATCTTCACTATCTATCAGTGGGGTGAGGCAATTCTGTTTGTCTATTGAGTATACTGATCACAGTAATAACTGTACCATAAGGAGAGATTAAACATCTTTGAAAACACATAGGAAATATGGGTCCTTCGGGTCCTTGATGGAGGATGCTTGTTATATCACTATAATTACTTCATTATACGTTCATTCCCTTGACTCTGACCCTGCTGACATTTTGTAAATCCTTGAAGACCTAGATGTTCCTTGGGTCTGGAGTCTGGGTGAGCCTGTCAATGTGATCTTTAATATGACTGTTGTATGAATTTGGTTAGATTGTCCTTAGGCACCATTATGTATTATTTTTGTTATTTTTTGTAGTTTTCTTTTGTTTGTGTTGGTTTTTACTGTTATGTTCGTGACCCAGTGTTACAGCTGACAAGATATAAATCAATCAAATAATTAATTAAATAGTAGCAAGCTGGCAAGATATAAATTGATTGATTGATTGATTGAATAAATGAATAGTAGCGTAAACCAAAAACTAAGATGGGTCAGAAAACTGCCAGCCTCAAATCATGATAAGGTCCAAGAAACTTTTAGTTATGCTTACCTGTAAAATTACTTACCATATGCATTTGATCAAAGGAACGAACAGAAGCCAATTTGTCTATACAGAAGAAAAATAAAGATGCCCTTGATAAACAATATGCAAATACTGAGAATCTTTGTCAGAATAATCATGACTTGACAAAACAGTAACAACTGCACTCCATACCTGTTGGGTTGCCATCAAGATGCTCCACCTTTCCTTGGAGAAATCCAATCTGCCTTTCTAGCTGTTTGTTCAATTCTATTTGGGTTTCATATCTGGTTTTCCATTCATTGTCTTAAACAAAAATAAATTTTTGTGTTTAATGCTGATTAACTCAGTATGTAAAAATGCCTCCAATACTATAACTATGAATTTTTTGCATCTAAACTCAAGAAGCATGTATTCATGTTAAAATCTGAACACACATTCTTGTCTTAAAAATTAAAAATGCTACCTAAATCTGTATCATGATAGAAGATGGAACACCTGAAGAAGGAACAGACTCCTCCTACTGGTAAGTGGATAAATTGATTCTCTTCTAGTACTGAGAAGAACTTTCATTGACATAGCTACAGCTCACTATTAGAACACATTTTGACTGCTGAAAATCTCAGTTCAAACTCTGGTAATGCACATGTGAAATTTGCTGTCAGTCAGGGTTAATAATCTATATACTACTATAACTCTAGTGTCTGTAACCTTCAATTGGGTGAAATGGTGCATCATAGGCCAACAATTTTTGAAGCAAGGTACCTCAAATGGGCTAACTTACAGAATGTTGGGATCCATTACTCTTGTGGGAATGAAATCAGGGAAAGTTGTGGCCGCTTTACTGCCACCGCTGCTGCTTCAGCGCCACCGCTGCACTCAGCCACGGTCACATGATCCTCATTTCCAACGCTCTCTGGCAGCTTCCCACAAGTCAATGGGGAAGCTGGCAAGGAAGGTCACACCTCCTTCCCCACGCCTCCCTATGCTCGCACACATACACACATGCACGTACCCTGTGCCCTCCCTGCATTGCGCACACACATGCACCCCACAGCCTCCTTCCTGGGCCTCCCTGCACTTGCAAACATGCACACACCCATAGGCACCCTCCTTTCTGCACCTCTCTGAGCTTGCACACACCCTGCGCCCTCTTTCCTCAGCCTTCCTACACTCCCGCCCCCACACACGCATCCATCACCCTCCCACCTGCACTCACACACATGCACACACCCACCAGCACCCTATTTGCCAGCCTTCCTGTGCTCACACGCACCTTGCACCCTCTTTCCTCGCATGCACCGCAGTACCCTCCTCCGCCAACTCATGCATGGCTTACCAGGGCATCCCTCACCCACCTGTGGCACCCCCGCAGCAAAGGCATTTGCACATCACACCAAGCCAAACTCAAGGCAGAATACAAATATGATTTACAACACAAGAGAGTGTGTGCATCAGAGAGAAAGGGAATGGCATTTAATGACATATACTACATATTTAAAACAATGATTAAACAGAAATATTAAAACTGGAAAATGTTTTAGCCTTCATGTTTTTCAATTGCTCTACTGTAAACAGCAAGTGTTTTTTCAGTCAGAGGAGCTGAAAAAGGCAGATATCAAACCATTTTTCTTTAAAAATGGGTGTGTAGATTAAGCCATTCCAGAAATTCTGTAAAAATTAGGATGAATGATAAAAACGTTTTCAATAAGCAAGTTCAATATTCAGCAGTGGATTTCACTGAATTTGATGGAATTTATGGAAAAGTGTTTACAGGTTTATTAGATCATACAGACAGCTTGTGTATGAATTCCAGTAATTTATTTCTGCTATTCAGGATTTAAACTTTAAGTATAGTGAACATAGTTTTCAAATACAGTACTGGGCAAAAGTTTTAAGCAGGTGTGAAAAAATGCTGTAAAGTAAGAATGCTTTCAAAAATATAT